TAGTTCATGAGGAGCCACAACTTCACAAAGGTGCAACATTTTACTTGGCCTGTTAAATCAAAACAGAAGCCACTGTGAACTCTTTGGGGGGCGGGGCAGGAAGGAATATGGACACATCTGCTCAACCACATTAGCCTCCCCATCTCATCTGGTTAGGTTGCCCACACAGCCCGTGTGCCTCAACAGCTACCTGGCTTCTCAGCACTTAGCTCCACTGCTGCACCCCAAAAGCCTTTTTCAGCCTAGAGGTTGGTTCCCACTCACCCATCCCGTTAGTTGTCCCACCAGAGAAGTTTGTGTCTCTTTTGCCTGGAGGTTATAGTAATCTCTAGCCCAGCTTTCTATTCTTACTGCTTTTATTTATTTATTTATTTTATTCTTATTGCTTTCAATGCCTTTCTTAAAACAAACTTTTATTGGTTTACCAATCATTTACAATGTATGTGTCTCTATTGTATGTGGAATCCCTGGTCCTCCTTATTCTCAAGGATATTTTCTTGGTGCTGGGTTCCTGCTTGTCAGCTTTGTAGGGTCAGGCAGGAGACCTCTCACCAAAGGCAAAAGTCCTGGTATGAAGAACATTCTGGGAAACCAATATGTGCTAAAAAGAGTAGGCAGATATTAGAATAGAATAGAGATAAAATGCTTTGACCTGGTGGGAACAATGGAGCCCCCCAGGTAAAAGCCCCAGGTCACTCCACCCTAGCTTACATTCTCAGTAACTGCTTCCCCCACAAATAGACACACCCTACACGCTCACCCCACCTTTGTACTTGATTCTGATAAATCTGAGACTGTCTTTGGATGGGGGCTGCATATTACTTCCGGTGTAGCCCCCCTGGGCTTCTCTTTGCTTACATGGAAGTTGAGTATCTTCCCCTCATGCAGTGCTGCTCCCAACACTGCTGCCCCACAAGGTAACAACTGTATAGTTTTGGGAGAGGGAGTTCAGCTTCACACCTCCATTATGTGTCCACCTCAATGCATCCACCACCAAAATTCCTATCTATCAAATCTGAGAGTGTGAATGTCATTCAGCTTTTTAAATTAAGTTTAACCTGGGCCTCCCTGGTGGCACAAGGGGTTAAGCACAGCACTGTGAAGCTGTCCACAGCCTCTGCAGCATGAGTTCAATCCCCAGCCAGCCAGGGAGCAACCCACATGGCACAGCAGACCTCTCCTGTCTCACCCACTGCTCCCCTCAGCAGTGTATTTCAGTCAGTCTGCCTGATCTGCTCCCCACTCTGTCTCTGGTGAATCCTCTCACCCTCCCACGCATCTGGCCTGTACCCCAGTTCTTGTATGCATGAATATATATATTTTTTTAAAAAATTAAGTTTAACCCACTGCAGGGGGAGGGTTTGTGAGTGATTCTGCTGATATCAACTTATTGATTCCATCGGAGTTTCTATTTTCATGTCTGTCAGCCAGAGGTTCCAAGGTTAGATTGAAGAAAGAGATGAAGACTTGCCAGGGATGATGTAAGGATCTGGACTGGTCCATATTGTGAGAGTAGCCAGCAACTGCTCTGTGTGGAGCTCATGTTCTCACTGTACTGCCAGCCCCTCCTTCATATCATCTCCCCCTTGCAAATTGTCCACTGAGCATGTGGAAGATGGGAGGTTCCCCAAAACACTGATTCTCTATGGCATGGGCTATATTTTATGCATTTTGGGATCAGTAAAAAATTTGCTCATCTTTCACTGTTTAAAATGCCTTTGGGGGGCCTCCCCTGGTGGTGCAGCGGTTGAGCGCTGGGCTTTGAAACTGCCTGCAGCCTCTGCAGAGCAGGTTCGATCCCTGGCCACCGGGGAGGGTCCCACATGGTGCAAAGATCTCTCCTGGCACCCGCTGCTCCCCTCAGCACTGTACTTCGGTCCTTCTGCCTGCTCTGCTCCCTGCTCTGGCTCTGGTGAATTCTCTCACCCTCCGGTGCTTCTGACTGTACCCAGTGCTTGTATAAATAAATAAATAAATCTTAAAAAAAAAACACTCATTTATTAAAGAAAAAAAAAAACCAACGCCTTATGGGGTCTCCCTGGTGGCACAAAGGGTTCAGACACAAGCTATGAAGGTATCTGCAGCCTCTGCAGCACGAGTTTGATCCTCGTCCAGGTTGCTACCCACATGGCACAGCAGCTCTTTCCTGTCTTGCCTGCTGCTCCCCTCAGCAGTGTATTTCAGTCAGTCTGCCTTTTCTGCTGCCCACTCTGTCTCTGGTGAATCTTGTCACCCCCTGCTCCTCTGGCCTGTACCCCAGCTCCCATGTGCATAAATTAATAAATCTTAAAAAAAAGGTTGTCTAAAAAAAAATAAAGTAAAATCCCTTACGGCACATTTTGCCAACATTTATCAATGTGGTCCTACCTGAATTTGTGTGAAGAATCATGCATAAGTTTTTTGGGTGACAACTCCATATTTAACATTTGGTAGGTCTTTCATTCAGGAAAGTTTCTCTAGCCCTCAACTGATGGTACTCCACAAGGTGAGGTCTGAAAAAATATCAGAATCTGGGGTGAAACTGAACATGGGGTTTCATAGGAGAGGACTCCAGGTTGAAAACTGATGGGAAAAAAATGTTTGTAGAGCTTTATAAATCCAAATAAATAGGGAGAGAGGCCCGCTGAGCTTCAGAACAGAATTGCTACATGCATGCAATTTAAAATGGAATTTCAGAGAAATATTAAATATATAAAATATTCTACTTTAGATTCAAATATAAATCTAAATTAAAATTTCTCTTCCTTCGCATTTGATAACAGCCCAAGTTGACTCAACAAAGACCAATGACTGTATTCGAAGTGTCCTGAAGAGAAGTTGACCAAAAAGCTTCTATTCTCTTCACATGCGTTTTAACAAATACTTCACCTTAAGAGGAGCCTTATTAGATGGTAAGTACTTTGATTCTTTGATTTACTTATTCTAAATTCAAGGCAGCAGCTTTGGAAAGTAAAAAGTCATTTTTAAGCTGACCCACAAGTTCAGCTAATTTTTCTAGATTCGAAACTGGTTTTTTCTTTTAATAAGCAGTCCTGAAAATGTGGGAAATAAGGGTGACAGTAGTCCCCTCTTTTATGAGGGGTTTTCCAAGACCCTAGGTGGAGGCTTGAAATCCTTACAGTACCAAACCCTTTATGTACTAAACTTTTCCCTATACACACAGATCTCTAACAATGTTTAATTTATGAATTAGGCATAGTAAGAGATTGACAATAATTAATTATTAACAATAATTAACAATAAAACAGCGATACCAATATACAATAGCAAAAGTTATGGGAATGGAATCTGTCAAAATGTCTTATCAATCCTATTATTATTTTCAGAGGGAGGCTGACCCCTTAACTGAAACTGCAAAGCAGAAACCATGGATTAGGGGAAATCAATCATTTCAAGAGGTCCAGGTAGTGTCATCCCCACCCATGGGCCTTCCGATTGTTGGCTCCCCAGATACCAAATTGGTTTTAAAAGCCAATAAGTATTTGTTAAAACGCATGTAAAGAGAATAGAAGCTTTTTGGTCAACTTTTCCTTCAGGATACTTTGTACACAATCATTTGTCTTTGTTGAGTCAACTTGGGCTGTTATCAAATGCGAAGGAAGAGAAATTTTAATTTAGTTTTAGATTTGAATCTAAAGTAGAATACTTTATATATTTAATATTTCTCTGAAATTCCATTTTAAACTGCATGCATGTAGCAATTCTGTTCTGAAGCTCAGCGGGCCTCTCTCCTTATTTATTCGGATTTATAAAAGCCTCCTGGAAATATGAGGCTTAGCCAGGGCTGCACTTGGGAATCCAGGTACAAAGGATCGGGAAGTTCCCTGATCTATGATCCCTCTCTCAAGTCTTAGCTCCTCCTGGCTTTTGCTGGGAAAGAGCACTTCTGGGCTGCAGCTGAGAGCTCAGGCTGCACCTCGGGTGCCTGTTTATTACTACTTCAGCAGCTTGCAGCCGGGAGACAGACAGAGTCTGGCTCTGATTGGCCGCCTTTTTCTGATTTACCAGCCTGCGCAGCCAATCAATAGCTTGCACTGCGAGTGAGCATAAAGATGAATTGTAACAGTCAAGGCCCTGGGAATTAAAAAAAAAAAAAAAAAGAGCAACCAGCCCCTAAACAAAACCTAACAGGCAGCTTCTGGAGGCCCCCCCCCCCCCCAGAGATCCTGCCCCCTTCTGCAGGAAGCCCCCTGGACAGGTCTGTGCAGCATCAAGTCCTGGGCACTCAGCGGAGTTCACACCGTTTCAAAGTAGGTCATTCCAAGTCATCTCTGCCGAGGAGGGAGACACAGACAGCGACAGAGCAGGGAGCCTGCTAGGAGGCCCAGACCTTGCTGTGGCGGATTGGAACTTAACCCTGGGCTTCCTTACTGGAGGCGAGGCTCGCCTTTCTCAAGCAGCCGCCAGAGAGGCTGGAGATTAAGTAAATTCCCTCTCTTTACCATTTACAACTGGTTAGGGAGTAACTACTCTGGATAAACCTCCAGCAGGACTTAAATATTAACCTGAATGAAAATTCCCTCTAAGAAGGATGATGTCATCTTGATTCAGCTCTTTGTTCTGCGTGTTGAGAAAATTCCTTGTCATTTATGGGGCTAGTGAGTTGTTTTTGTTTTGTTTTGTTTTTCCCTAAGAAGGCATGCTGGTACCCCTGAGGAAAATGCAAGTAAAAATCGATGCATGCAAAATATTAATGAGTGACATAGTGAGGAATATGCATCTGAAGCAAATGCATGTATTATAAGAAACACACAGCTCATACATGTTCTTAAACACATAGAACTCATTCATTGCTATTCATACACACTGTTCAAAAGATAAACTCCACTTTCTGGATCAATGACATGCACCTGATATTTGTCAAATAATGCTTGAAAGGTATGTGTTGTCTTTAAACAGGACCTGTCTTCAGGTTTCATTTAGAAGTTACCTTTGCTATGCCCTCCCCTCTCCCCCCTTAACCCCCTCCCCCCATCCTGCAATACCCTCCTCCTACCAACCTTGCAGAAGCCTCTTAAATTCTTCCTCTTTAGGAGACCTTCTCTGGCTCCTGGTTATTTATCTCCATTCAGAAGCTCTGCAACAATAAAAGTAGCGGATAGCACACACCTAGGAATAGCTCCTGTACGATGGAGCTGATCTCTAATTGTTTATTACACCATAACTTCTGCAAAGAAGGGCCAGTGTCTTGCATTTCAGTTGTACTTAGCACACATGTAAGGACAACAGAAAAAATGAAGGGAGGAAGAAAGAGGAAAATGCTTATTAAATGCCTAGCAGGTGCTAGCTACTGCACCAAGATTTCTTCTTTCAGCAGAAGATCTACTCTCGACCATTTTAAAGATAAGGAAGAGTTTCGTAACTTACCCAAGATCAAACAGCCAACATGCAGAGGAACCCAGACTCCCTGCTCTTTCTGCTATTCCCTGATTTTCAATCTTGGCTGATGAGCTTTGAGAAATTTCAGATGACTAGAGCCCACCCTTGAAATTTCGATTCTGAACCCAAAAAGCAGGAAGCCTTTATTTCCTTAACTGCTACATTGCCAACAATGCTTTGCCTATAGTAGCTGTCAGTAAATATTGCTTAAATGAGTAAGGACATGCATTCCATCTAGAGCGGTAATTTGCAGGCCTAGTTATATGTTAGAATCGCCTCCGGGAGAGTTGATAAGCAATACCCCCTCTCTGGACCCTACCCCCAGAGATTCTGATGCAATTGGTGTGGAGTGAAGCTGCCTGGTTTTCAAAAACTCTCCAGGCAATTCACATGTGCAGCCCAGAATTGGAGCCATTGGTGTAGAGTGAGGTCACAGCATCTGCAGATTTTTAAAAGCTCCACAGGTAATTTTGATCAGCAGCCAGGGCTGAGAACTACCGCCTACACATCATGCTGCCTCTCTCTGGGTTTTATAAATGGGAAAGCATTACTTTCTAAAAATAATTCTGTCAACAAGTATGGGTGTGCTCACCCAGGCACAGCAGTGTACCGGTTTGGGGTCCATTATAGAAGAAACAATGGAGCCTGCTGTCCCCCAATTTCCAAGCTATTCCGGTTCAGTGCTAACTTGTTCTTTGATTTTTGTCTTTGTGGGCTAGTTGGAGAATGATTTATGAAATAGACAGATTATAACACATAGGAATCCTGTTTGGTAGCTAAGAGAATGAGAATAAATACCTGATCTACTGAGCTTAACAACTTTTAAGCTTTGGAGGCATCCATATGCAGTCGTGTGAAATTCTTGTGCCCTGATTTGCTATTTTTCCTTAAGAATTGGGGGGAAAATAGGAAAAATATGTCAAAATGCATGTTTTTTTTTCTTGCAAGTTGAGAGATGGACAATAGGAGAAATCAAACAAAAAAAGACAGTGTATTGTGAACCTCAGACATGTTTATTAACACCTCAAATGGTCTGGAAATCAAGGGAAATTCCAGTCTATGGATTTGTGTGTTATTTCTTTAAACATTTCTTAAAGTACATGATCCAAAATGTGCCAGGAAATAATTTAATATTGGGGAGAGACCTGATTACTTGATGTAATAGACCCAACCCTAACCTGATGCTTGAAACGTTTCTGCAAAATTCAACCATTATAAAATTAAAAACACAGAGAAAGTGCAACAGGGTGGTCCCCAGGAAAGGGGGAGGTTCCCTGCCCCACCCAAGAGAGAGTGGAGCTGAGCAGGAAGAGGAGAAGCTGCAGAAGAGACTGAGGAAGGAGGGAAGCAGGATGGAGCCAGGAGACCTGGAGGAGGCGCATGGAGCCTAGAGACACGTGAAGAAACTGCGCTTGTCTTTTGGTCGTGGACTGGGTGACACAGATGTGGGTGAGACCCGTGGGGAGGTGACAATGGCAGCTTTTATCTTGATGTTGATTTTGCTCTTTTCCTTCCGGGCTTGTCCGGTTGTTTGTGACCCTTTTCTGTGGGTCCCCACTGGAAGATGCTTTAGACTTGTGGCAGGCCTTGGGGCCTTGCTCTGGGCCAATCCCATTTGGATGGACTTTTACCCACGAGGGGATGGGTAACTTTGGGTGCTTGATTTAGAAACTAGACTCTTTGCCTTACCTGTATTGTTTCCTAGTTTTATTAAAGTTCCTTCCCATTAAAGTCTCCTATGTTTTGTGTTGATGCGGCGGATGGCAGAACCCATTTAGAATAGGCAGGTTTGCGGGGCTTGGGCTGACCCTCTCCCTGTCCTATAACAAAAGCAGCCACTGTTAAGAATCAAGGAAGGGGAACTCTTTAAAGAGCAAATTCTTGTGCAGTAGGGGAGAGCAACTTTTTATACGCACTAAGAAATTTGCATCCAATTCATCAAAGGTGGCTATTGTTGAGCTTTGAAGCTTGTGTCTGGCACTCTCTGAGATGTTTTTATGTATTCTCATTTAATCTTCACAACCAGATGGAATATGTGCTATATAATCTCCTTTTAGAAATAAAAAAATTAAGGCACAGAGAGGCCAAGTCAGTTGCCCTGGGACCCACAGCTTGTAAGTCGTAAATAAATTGGAATTCAAATTCAGGCATCAGTTAGGATTTCATAGCTGATGGTTTTAACCAGGATCCAGAATATTTTCTCTGTGCTGAGGTTATGTTGTTTATGTGACCTGGCATATGGTAATCGGAGCAGATTTCTGCAGAGAAAGCAACTCTTGCTTCATCCCAAATTTAATTCCACACCCCCACTTTCAGTTTCTATTACTGAACACAATTTCTAAAACACCTTTCTCTCGGAATTGAAATGCAGTTTAACAAATACGCTCAGCACCAGTTCTGTGTAAGGTTATCAAGCAGGATCAGAACTTGAGTTTTAAGAACTTTTTTGAACTGCAACAAGATTCTGGCATCCCCCTTGAAATTCCTTCTGTCACTTTGCTCTCTTTGTATGTTTTCCAAGTCCCAAATCGACCTTGGAGACCTGACATGAGTTGGGCACTCTCCCTTGTCCAGCTCCAGCTCCCTCCCTCTCTCTCAGGAGTGTGAGCTTCAACCATATTGAGTTTTTCATGAAGCCTCTAATGCTCCATATTCTTCCCAAGGCTGGAGGTGGCCCATGTGTTATCTCCACATCTCACACATGACCCTCCTTGCCAACTCCTGTGGCTGGGAACCCCTCTGCACCCACAGATCCCTGCTTAAGCATTGCTTTCTCAAGGAAGCCTTCCCTGACAGTGGACACCAGGCCCAGCCCTCTGCTGAGCTCTCTCTTGGCCTCTGCTCTTCACTCATGGAACTTACTGCACCATCTGTGACATTTATTTGTGTAGTCATTTGTTGCATGTCTCTATCTCCCACCTGCTTGAGAAGAAGGAGGAGACTGTATTTCTCTCTTCTTTGCATCTAGTATCTTGCATTCTTCCACATGGTAGAATCCAAATATTTGCTTTAAAGCATATTCTTCCATTTACGTGGCATCTGTCCCTTTGGTCTGGGGTTATGATGGCTTTGCTGTAGCTGGTCCCAGGGTTCTGTGCTATCCCTTATTCTTCCTTTACATCCTGCTCACACCTCCACACATTATCCAAATGTTATTGTATCACTTGATTCCTGACACGACCCTGACCAATACAGGTAAGGATTAGATGAACCAAAATAATAATAATCACGGTAAATGCATAGAGAGAATTGAACATTCTTAAAATCCATGTTAATATTTTCATCCAAATTGCTAAACATCACAGTGGTTAGGCATTACCTGAAAATTAAGTGTGATATGACATTGGGTTATAGTGTATTAGGGCATAAAAAATGAAATTCAGATTTTGTAAAATAGGTTCCAAGTTAAGTGAAATGGGGCCGGGGGGTGGTAGGGGATCAGAGATCCAGATACCCAAGACATCTTGGGTCCTACTGCAAATCTTTCTGGGGATGAGGAGGGAGGCTTTTTAAAAATGATAAAATAAATGCAATTTCTCCTTCTTCCTCTTCCCTTCTCTTCCATTTTGCTTAAGACAAATTTATTTGTTCACGGTTCTCAGACGGCAGAAATCAGAAATTAAGGTATAGTCAGGGCCCTGTTCCCTTTGAAGGTTCTAGGGAAGGATCCTTTCTTATCTCTTCCTTATCCCTCCAGTCTCTGTCTGTGTTGTCATGTGGTCTTCCTAATGCTGTGTGTGTCTACTAGTCTCCAGATCTCTCCCGCCTTATAGGGACGTCTGTCATTGGTTTAGTGCCTACCTTAATCCAGCATAAGCTTATCTAAATTTGACTATATCTGAAAAGCCCATATTCCCCAAAAGGTGACATTTACAGACACTGGGGAGGGATGTGGTAGGACTTGGACTTGAATATATCTTTGTGGGGAACATAACTCAACTCAAAACACTGTTATGTATATAAAACCTATCATTGCTCTGTTTGCTTTTTCCTATTTTGTTTATTTATTTATTTTAAGATTTATTTATTTATTTATACAAGCACTGGGTACAGTCAGAAGCGCAGGAGGGTGAGAGAATTCACCAGAGCCAGAGCAGGGAGCAGAACAGGCAGACTGACGAAGTACACTGCTGAGGGGAGCAGCGGGCGAGTCAGGAGAGGTCTGCTGCGCCATGTGGGTAGCTCCCTGGCCAGCTAGGGATTACTAGGGATTGAATTTGTGCTGCAGAGGCTGTGGATTGCTTCATAGTGCTGTGCTTAACCCCTTGTGCCACCAGGGAGGCCCCTGATTCTTGCCTTTCTTTTTTCATTGGTCAATCTAGCTATATAAGGTGGTCAATTTTGTTGGTGATTGTTAACTTTACGATTTATTCTTTAGATTATAGAATATCCAGATGGGATTGGGGCTCAACTAGAGTAGAATTAGTATCTCTCAGAAGTGGATATAGTGATGGAGAGGATTTTTCTTGCCTTCTCCTTTGGGAAGTGGTTGAGGACAACGTCACTTAATTGGAAGAGTTGCTTGCTATTAGGCAGCTGCAACATGTTGCCACTATTTTTGTTATGTGAAAGTTTAAGTATTGGGGAATAGTGAAAAAAGTGATGAGGAGACAAAGTGAACCATTGTGGTTATTTGTGGAAGACAGATAGGAGATTGACTGAAGAGAGAACAAGCAATTTTGTTTGTTGCTTCTGAAG